AAAATTTATTTATTTATTTAGTCTAAACTAAATAAATAATTTATTTTATTTATTTAGTCTAAACTCATCACCATCAGCCATATTTAAAGTCTGAAGGATGTTTTTAAATTCACTCTGAATAGCTTTTTCTTCATCTAAGACTGGGGTATAACATTTTACTGTTGTGAATTTGTAATAAAATCTTTTTTTTTTTTTTTTTTAATTGAATAAAATAAATAACGTGATTTGTCTCCAAAGTATAAAATGGCACCTTTAAAAACTATGGATGATGAGTATGCAGGCACAGCATCGGACTATTGAAGCTCAAAAATTGTTCGTTTTGGGTCCAGCTGATCCATTGCTTCACAGATTCAGGATTCCTCAGAAGGGAGGTTCTGAAAGAGAAAGCAAGAATACATTTTACAAGCTAAAACTAAACCTCGAAAAGCTAAAAAGCAACATTCAAGACAATCAACGTTGATTTTTGTCTTTATGCAACACCATGATAACATTTAAAATAAGACAATTAAGATGTGATTGAAATGAAGACGCCCATCTCAAATTGAAGAGGTTTCACAAAATGGCATTTCGGATTAATGGAAATTTTATACAGAGTACCTCTATTTTCAGAGTCATATCATCGAGAAACATCATGGCCGAACATTAGCAATAGGTATTTTTTCCAGGTGACTGTCCTGTATGACAGCAGCCCCACGTTTGGTCTTCGGTCAGAAGACAATCTGTAATGATGTCCATGACGGCATTTCTTGATTGGAGATGATATGCCGAACCTCTCATGAGAATTTTAGATTTTAATGTTGTATCATTTGTCTTGAAGTAACAGGGAATGGACCGCAATTGTGCTGACCTGCTGTCGTAAAGCCTGCATGGACGTGTACTGCATGTGGGCCCTCTTTTTTCGGACCCACTCTGGTTCGTCTGGAATCAGGGCTGCCACAATCACCTTGACTACGATGAGAACATGCTGCAAAAACATTTGAAAACATCAGTTGAGCATGCACTCGGGAAAATGAATCACGTCAAAACGGAAAGTATTTCAACGGTACATAAACCATGCGGGTTGTTTATATCGGATAAAGTCAACCTCCAAGTATTCCAAATGCACCGCAGTAATTCATAATGAATATATACTTTCGTTAACACAATGGATTTATAAATGCTGAATACATAAATCTGCCTTTATGAAAAATACATAGGATTTGTTAGTTCTGTCAGATAACTGTCATTTTTAATTAATCCAAACAATTAGCCCAAAAGATTTCGGTAAGTGTGCAAAGCCAAGTCATGCGTCTCTATAGCTAGGTTCAAAATGCAGACAAATCTGACCCTGATCGGAATTTTTTTGCCCATCTGGACTTTCATATGTAGTCTCAGATCGGATACTAGCGAGCCTAGCCTCTGCATGAGGAGCCCTTCTACCTCAGCCAAAATGGCCATCAGCACGATGTCGGTGTTGCTCATCTGGCCCTCATGATGCATCCTTTGCAATTGTGGAGACAGTGTCAACAGCCAGCAGTTAGACACCACCGCGACGAAACTCAGGATCTCAAACGCAATCTGGAGGACAAGACAATGACACCAGTTTTCTTCGTCACAATTACGCCCGTTGCCTGATGTGCTGACCTGCCATACACCCATGTTGGCCGCGGGGGCGGAGAACGGCTTGCGGAAGAGTTTGCAGATCTTGTAGGCGTCGGAGCGGATCTCCATTACGTTGTTGATGAGCAGCAGCACGGCCGTCAGAGGGTAGACGCACGAGAAAAGACTCAGATAGCCAAACTGAACCAGGAGCTCAATGTATTCGGCAAATAGGCCCTGGTGGGAAACATAAAGTTGTCAAAGACTCCTTGCCTACTTTCCTGTGCATGAGTCCACATTATGCCTTCACACCCCCAAGACTAAATCTGATAGACAAATCCACAGAGACATCAAGTATGTAAGTTCTCACATCGGTTATGTGTCGGTTATCAGATACCAACAGAACGCACTGCAGTTCTGCTTACCTTATGACTTTGACATGATAGCAGGGGCGTCTCACTTATGGGGGATGTGGGTTTCAGACTGGCACCCCACTACCCCCAATCGTTTTTGGGTCAATTTCACACACTCGGCAAGTCAACAAGTGAAGTTTTCATGATAGTTGATGTCCCTTTTCAATAGTTTGCGCCTCAAAATGCCATCAACATTGTTTCTGATTGAAAATGTTCACTCACAGGGAACACTGGCAGGGTGATTTGATTCCTAAATTTGTCTTCCTCTGGGTCATCTTCAGTTTCCGTCCTGTGGGGGGCACTAATGAAGTGATCCACAAGGAAAGGTACCACCACTTCTGTCACCTGGTTCACCAACTGGGTCACGATCAGCAAAGATGCCAGGCGCTGCACATAGACAGAAATGTTTCATTTGGGGCCACTAGACATTTTTTTTTAAATTCCATATTTCAGTTTGCATTTTTTTTCAGGAAGGCTTCTCATTTGTTGTACAGATGCGGCTGGTGAGTGTTGTAATGTGGGGATCAGCTGTCACCTTACGAAGCAACGGCACATCCTGCTTGACGAATGCAATGTGGAAGAGGACTGCAAAGTAGTTGAAGAATGTGAACTGATGAAACAGGGGGTGGGGGCGGGGGGGGGGGCGGACAGCTGAGTCATCTGACAGTTGGATGATGTAATTATGTCTTTGAAAAAGGTGGAGACTCACCACCAACACTTTTGCTGTCAGGTGGTTCTGGAATGCAGACTCTTCTCTGTGGTTCTCTGAAAGGACACATGAGGGGTGAACATCTCTTTATTGTTTGAAAAAAATGGTTATAGAGGGCAAGAATAAGTTGCAAAATTCAGTTCAAAAGCCTTGCTGCTCACTCACCAAATTCAGTCAAAGACTGGGCCACTCTTTTGTAAACCGTGGCCAGCATATTCGTGTAGACAATGTGAAGCACAGAAGGTGCGTAGAGTAACGTCTGGGACACCATTGAGTCCCATCCGTCGTGAAGCCACATCACTTGGTTCTCCCCCCAGTAGAAACACAGCATGCCAAGGACCACCATCCCTGCACACACATGTGAAACTTCAGCGCTAGGCCGTCTGTCCTGAATGAGTCACACATCCTCTTCTGTAATTTTGTTCCCATCTGTCAGGCTTTGACATACAGTAACTTAGCAACCATAATCAAAAAAGAGAGTAACTAATTGAAGAAGCATTTTGAAAACGTTCACGCCAATCAGGCATCAAGACAAGTCATACCCAAAAACAGTCCAACCACCGGGATAGAGACCAGTGCCATCCGCAGATCCCTCTGCCATTCAGGAAACAGAGGCTCCATACGACCAGTGACAGGGTTCATCCCAAGATGGCCATGGAAACCGGGTCGAGGCTCCGCAAAGCGCTCGGCGAGGTGAAGGGTCCCCCAGCGGTAGGACTGGGAGGAACTGCGACGCTTCCACAGCTCCATGAACACGGTGGACCAGAGCATGCTGAACACAGCCTGGATCATGTGACCACTCGCGGTGAGTCCGGCGTCCTCCTCGTGGATCTCGGCCTGTGAGCCGGCCACTGCCTCCACCGCTTCCTTCTGAACCTCACCTGAGAACAACACGAAACACCTTAAATGTCGCAAATACATTAGACCATGAAGTCAAAGTCACATGTGGGGTGCTGGTGACGGCCTTGTGACCGAGCAGCTCCTGACTCGTGGTGGTGGTGCCTTGGAGTGTGTCTGAAAGCGCCGCTCTCAACAAATGCAGTCAGTATAATGGGCGGCAATGGTGATTTAAATTTGGAGTCATTTGTTTTAAATTGACATATGCCAGTCGTGAAATCCGTAGAAGTGTTTCCCGCGTGCACGGCGGAAAGCGTTGCAAGGCAGCGCTTCAACAACAGCCAGCTCATTCGCTTCTCAACTAATGGGACAGTTCCAAATATACATTCAGTCATGAGCGCTGTCGTCTGGTTAAAGTACTTTTATTAGGCTCATTAAATACAGAATAAAAATACACATGCAAATGAGCCGCGTACATCACTATGGAAGATCCGTAAGTCAATTTCACATGTAAAGTGTGAAATATATTCCAAATAGAGCCCTGGAATTCACGTTTTAGGAAAACTTCACATGTGCGGGCCTTGCAGGCATCCTCAGAATTCGGTGGCTGCGTCACTTTTCAAGTGGGTGTGTCAGAAGACTACACGGGATCATGTCCTTGCTTGAAAGTGAGTAAAAAAGGCACGCAAGGAACTTTAGTGCGAAAGGGAGAATATGCCCATTTAAGTGCATGTGTGGACGCTAGCACAAGCAAAGTAGCAAGCAAGCGCTATGACTTGTGACTGAAGTGTTGCCTACTAAGCAACGTTTTGTCATATTTAGCTATTTTTTTCCAACCCCTCTAGCAACGATATTTCCGAAAAAGAGACTGGCGAAAATGACAACCAAGGTCCTACTGTAATTTGGGTGTGATTAAGTGGAACCGTCTTAAAATGGTTCAGGTCCTACTTCAAGGAAATTTGTTACTTTGTTACCATTGGAAGTTTTGAATCAGAGTGAATGGCCATGACCTGTCGGGGTCCCTCAGCTCTTGGACTTCTTCGGGGTTAGTCTGTATATGTCACCTTTGGGTCAAATGCTTCAGAACGCCAATGTTAGCTATCGCAGTCATCCAGATGACACACGGCTATATCTAAGCCCCTCAAATGACAGCAGTTTGATCAACTTATTGTCTGGAGAAAATTCACAACTGGATGAATCAAAATTTCCTTCAGCTAAACCAAAACAAAACCGATGTTATTGTTTTCGGCAATAACGAAAAGAGGATTGCTGTTCTAAACACCTGCAGTCCAAAAGACCAAATCCCAAATCTTTGGGTGCCGTAACACTCAGACGTGACTTTCAATAATCATATCAAATCAATCACGAATTCGGCCTTTTACCAGCTGAAAAACATTCAGACTGAAGAGTTGCATGCTCCAAGCAGACTAGGACAAGCGTATTCATGCTTTTATCTCCACTACACGTGATTAATTTAATGGTCTTCTTACTGGGCTCACTCTGCTGGTGTGTATATTTTCTAAAAGGTCGGGTAAAATGTACGAATGATATTGTTTGGCAGTTATAATTTTAAAAACATGATCATAAGACAACATTGTGACTGAAATCATTTTGGAAAATGCCCTATTTATTTACAATTGTACTTCTTTCATTTCAACTTCATTTACATAACAATAACAATGAGGTGAGTCTTGTGTGTCTATCTCAACATTGAATACCGGTAATGATAAACAAAAGTGTTGCACATACTTACTGGAGAAGTATGTGATGCAAAGGCCCAGAATAGCCGGTGGCAACAGAGACCAAGTGTAGAAATCAAGGAAGCTGAAGTAGAATCCCACCGTGCTCCCAAAATACGCATTGACCGAATCTGACAGTGAAATACAGAAGAGATGATATGAAGTACATACGGGCACAGACAAAGCAGATACGGTTCCCCTCCAAAAGTATCGGAACGGCAAGGTCAATTCCGTTGTTTTTGTTGTACAGCACAGTAATCCCTCGTTTATCGCGGGGGTTACGTTCCAAAAAGAACCAGTGATAGGTGAAATCCGTGAAGTAGTGAGCTTTATTTTTTACAGTTATTATACAATACTGAACTACGTATACAATGAAACCAAAGACTAAAACCTGTTTTCAGGCCCAAGCACAAAAAAACAAACATTTTCAACAAATAACTATTATAGTTTTTGGAAATACTGAACTGTAAAATAATATTTTTAATACCAGTAGTCAGTACGAGGTTGGACTGTTCACATCGGTCAGTGCCTTATCCAATCAGGATGCAGAACGCAATTCACTGTTTAAAAGCATTAAAAAAAAAAACTGCACTAAAAAAATTCCGTGAAACAGCAAAGCCACGGAAAGTGAACCACGTTAGAGCGAGGGATCACTGTATACCGAAGACATGTGGGTTTCCGATCAAAAGATGGCTATCACACTAAAGTTCAGCATTCCAGCTTTTGTTTCACGGCATTGACGTCTAGATGTGTTAAATAGCTCAGAACAGAGCATCTTTTGCATGAAGCCACCCACTTTTGAAGTGAGCAAAATTATTGGAATCAACTCGTTGGAAATTTTCCAGGCCTTCACTGCAGCCTCTTTCAGTTTCTTGTTTGTGGGGGTTTCCTCCTTCAGCGCCTTCCTCAGAAGGTCAAACGCAGGCTCTATTGCAGACCCGGCCAAAGTACGGCCCGGGGGCCACACCCGACTCATCCACAGCCTTTGACCCACCCCCACAGTGACCCTGAAGTCAAAGTAAAACTATGTGGTGCTTTTATTTTGAAAGTTGTTTTTTCTTGTACAAAGGCGGTAACAAGCAAAAGCTGCAAAAGCGACTTTCCTAACCCTTCTAGCAACAATTTTTCCAAAAAAAGAGACTAGCAAAAATGACAGCAGTGGTCCGACTGCTAGCAACATTCTTATTTCCTGCACATGAAGAGGGCCAAGAAGATCTGGCCTGATAATATCCATCCATCCATCCATCCATTTTCAACAAAACCCTTATCCTGAACAGGGTCGCAGAGGGTGCTGGAGCCTATCCCAGCTGACTTTGGGCGGAAGGCAGCCTACACCCTGAGCTGGTTGCCAGTCAGTCACAGGGCCTGATAGCATTCTATGCAAATCTGCAATTTCATATCCTGCATGGTGTATTATAAATCAGCACTAAATCATGATTCATCACTGTCAATAATGTTATGCTTGGTACTTGTCTAAAGATAGATGGGAGTTTGGCGGTTGGTGCACAATATTATCGTTATAATTTTTACAGTGTTAAAGATGTAATTTAATGACCATTTATAATTAATAATTAGAATGACGTACTTTCCAAATGAATACCAAAGCATACCATAGCTACACATGGGAATTTATTGAAACAAAACAATATGCTTTTTTCAAAATACATCAAAAATAATATAGACAAGTTTGAGGTTACCGTGTTGGCTTGGCCCTGGGCAAGCGTTCCCATTTTTCATGTAGCCCCTTTGCAAAATTAATTGCCCACCGCTGATCTTTTGGGTTATGGTCCCGTGATTGACATGGCCAGTCTAAGACCTTCCACTTTCCCCCCCTGATGAAGTCCTTTGTTGTGTTGGCAGAGTGTTTTGTACCAGTGTCTGGTTGCATGATGAAGCTTCTCCCGATTAGTTTGGATGCATTTTTGGGTAAATTGCCAGACAAAACAGTTTGGTCGACTTCAGAATTCATTCCGCTACGGCCATCATGAGTTACATCAACAAAGAGACTCGTGGGTCCATTTGAGAAGAGGCCATGCAAGCCCAAGCCATGACATGACCTCCATCATGCTTCACAGACAAGCTCGTTTGTTTTGGATCATAAGACGCACATCCTTTCTTTCACCCGACTTTGACCTTTCCATCATTTTGGTAGAGGTTCATCTTGGTCTCATCGGTCCATAAAAATTTGTGATTCATTTCTGTAAAATTCTTTGCAAAATCCAATCGGGCCTTCCAATTTTTTATTATAATGCTCAATTAGTTTGATTGAGATATTAATGGATGGATGTTTATTGGTGATGTTGTTTGTTGTGGTGCAGCACCGCAGTGCACAACAAACCAAACTATGATGCAATGCAGTCTTAGGTCACTCCAAAATTAACAACAGTAATGTACCTCCTGTTAAGTTGTAACCACTGAGACATCACCAAAGATGATTTTTCAAAAACCCTCTGTGTTCCCACTCAGGACAGCCATCTTCTGCAAGGCAATGCGTCCCCTCATTGTGATCTCATAAGTGGGGGAATGGATTCCACTTGGCCACTTATGAAGTCTTGGGGTTGCAGTGATGAGCTAAGCACGGGAGGCAGACTACTTCAAATGATTCCTCCTAAAAAGAAATCAGCAATAACTTCTAGACCACGTGGAAGAAAACTTTCAGCCACGTGTGACCTTAAGGTCATTACTAGGATGCATAAGGGACTAAATACATCTTCTAGTAAACATTAGTGCAAAATATCACCAAACATGGTTCATGTAGCTTTAGATTGCACACACACACACACACACACACACACACACACACACACACACACACACACACACACACACACACGCACACACACGCACACGTACACACACACAAAATAATCCAACGGTGTGGGTATGTCAGTCATGCACATTCACTTACCCAGTGGTTGTGACAGCTGGTTCCCAGAGTACCAGGATTTACTGAGCTCTTTCAGTCTTGCCCTGTTATGTAGGGGGAACGTCTCCACAACCACGCCAGCGGAGGTCATCTTCTGCCCTGCAAAACCACTCGGGATTACACATTTCATCAAAACAACACTTGGAGGGAAGGTCCTGAACCACGCAGTAACCAAGCCATTACCATGACATACAGTAAGCAGTAACATACAGTACGCTCTGACAGAGATGCTGAGGGAAGCGTTTTCGTGATCAAACGTGAGAAGCCAACAACGGCTGAGATCAGCAATGCATAGGAATGCATTATGTAGCTTAACCCTGGCTGGGATTTGACAGCAAAAAATAACATACCTGTCATGACAGTTAAAAATCAATAATGGCTTTTTTTTTTTGTTTTTGTTTTTCGGGGGTGGGGGGGTCACGTAATTTTATGAAATACGATGAAGTTATTTAAGGGTCATATGTATTGCCCGACATTCAAATCAATAAAATGTGTTCTGTTGTGACACAAAGTAGAATCCAGGCACGATTGAACATGAAGCAATTGCTGTGTTTGAAAGAGACAAAGAAATCCTGTTTCTTGTCAACCATGATTTCTATTCCATCCTCCTGTAGGACTCACAGATGTTGTCTCGGTGTTGTAGGGTGTAGTTGTCAGCCAGACCAGGTATCCTCACATCCCTCCGCGCACGCAGACCCTCCAGCTCATACTTGATGATGTACTGTCTCTCAGCAAGCGTCAGGAAGATCTCTATGTTGTCTGTCAAACAGGGACGGAAAAGGTCCGTTCGACAACATGCAATAAAACCTCTAATTGTGAAGTATCCGACTACGCTGAAAAGATATCTTCGCGCACTCAAGTTCACATGAAGCAGAAAACCATTTCCACAAAAACTTGAAAGCCGAAAATCCAAGTCAACCCAAAAAGCTTGAAGCACACCTGTCAATCATGAGACATTTAATTTTAAAGACTCCAGATGCTTCAAAGGAGAATGAATGTTTAAGAATAATTTGATTGACTTCTCATTCACTTGCATTTGTTTATCTTAACACGTTCAACAAAATAATACGATTTTTGGGGCTTGTTTATCGTTAACATTTTCTTTTGACAACCGTAAAGTACCAGACATTTGAAACCCATTAAATATAATCAAAGTTCTTTTGTGTTTTTTTTTTACATCATTTCATTTTTGCTCTTTTATTTTTGACTGAAATCGATTTTCCAATTTGAGCATTTACTCACAATTTTATCACTAAGCGTGTCAGATGTCTCCTTGTTCTTTCTGTCACTTATTTTTTTCTTCATTCTTTCCTCCATCATTCTACTTGTTTACCTGAATGTCGAAAGTTGTCTCTGTCGTCGTACGAGAACGTCTCCATTTCCCCAGTGTTATACGTCTTGCACAGGCCCAACTCCTCAGTGGCTTGTAACAATGTGCACCGTGGGGCGGAGACCATGATGATGTCACCAGTGGCATCTTCACCTGGATGGGCCAGCAATGCTGCACCTGGGGAAGTGGAGGAGTTATCTACACTCTTATTTTGCCCCAAAGGGTAAAGAACAAGAACAAAATGGAGTTAATTATTTCACTGAAAAAAATATGAACCTTTTCTTATTAGAAGTCTTGATTTTACTTAACATTTTTGCCGTAACATCCACCTGAGGGAAAATGACCTGTCATGTTGTGCATGTGCATGAGTCTTTATTTTATTTTTGTCTTGAACTCACATTGCACACGCAGAGAACATTTGTGCACGTGACACTTTATTTTTTTGGGCATTTATCCTATCCATGAGTAGCAGTGAGCAGTGAGCCTGTCGTGCCCAGGGCCCGCTGATGAAAGGGAACTGGCTGGAGCGAACCTGACACATTTTTGGTTCAAGGGGGAAAACAGGGAAAATGCATTTTGTTGTATTAGCAGAAAAATGAACAAGCAAACCTCACACACACACACACACACACACACACACACACACACACACACACACACACACACACATGCACAAAAGGTCAGATGTTCAATCGAAGAGTGTGAGAATTTGGGGTCCTATTAAAAAAAAAAAGAGTTAAAAAAAAAAACAGGACTTCAGGCCCCATGACTTCAAAATGACTGGGAGACAATTACAGGCTCCTTCCAGCATGTTTAAAGACAAACATATCAAATGAAATATATTCTTTCCTTCTGGTCCCACGTCAATGTAGATTCTTGGTGTTTGACCTGTGTGTCGGGTTTGACTTGTAACTTACTCAACTCAACTCAACTGTATTAAGAGAGCACTTTAAAACAACCAGTGGAGCAAAAATAATTCATACAACAACAAATAATAAAACACTAAATAAATAACAAAGACAGTAGAAAGCACAAAAACAGTCCAACTAAAAGCCAAGTCTCATGCTGAGTCATGTACTTTTTCAAACCTTGCTCACTAAAAAATGCTGGGTTGTTCCCTAACCCACTCATTGGGTAGCTTTGGATTTTCAGCAGATTGGGTTACTTTTACCCACATTTGGGTCCATTCTTTTGACACAGCAACTTGGGTTGAAAATTGGATTTGGGCGGCTGAAGAGCTGAAGCATTCTCAGAAAACATGAGTGGCGGCTGGACGGCTCAGTGGGCCACTTATTTTGGACAGAGGGGTTGGGGGGGAAGACCTGGTCAGTTGGCTGTTCCATTGTTGTGTGAGGTACTGATAACATGGTCATTAATCCCTTGCTAGCTTTCATTCATCTTTCTGGTTAGTTGTTATCCGATGTTGGACCAAAATCTTGACCCAACGTGCTGGGTCACTCAGTGCGTTGGGTATAAATAGTCCAGCATCTGCTCTCTATAAAAGTACACACACACACACACACACACACACACACACACACACACACACACACACACACACACACACACACACTACTATACAAAAAAATGAGGGTGCACTTCAGATGAAATGTCATGTTTCTGTGTACAAATTCACTGAGTGCATGAAGTATCTCACCTCCTTCTTTCTGTGGAGTTCCAATCAATTTGATGAGCCATCTTTTGGTCTCAGGACGGACCTTCTCACCAAGTTTCACCAGAACCAGTGGCTCAACCCGCTCCGACACACAACAAGGGCAGCTAACCTTTGTCCATCCCGGCCCTGTTGCCGTAGTAGCCGTGGCCTTGTCACTTGGTGACTTCTCAGGGTGCACCTCAAAGATGCTTCCTCCATCGTCGTCACATCCTGCCTTACTCATGATGGCACTGAGAAGAAGAAGAATGTGGCGAAATGAGCAACAGCAGTCTTAAAACATAGATGTGCCAGATTGCTTCTTTCACCAAATTGCTTGATTTACCAATCACATTTTGAAAGAACCCGTGAAAACTCTTTGGAAATATAAAAACAGCAACAACAAAGATTTTGTTATTTTCCCATTGAGAGAGAGATTATATTCTTGTGCTCCTTAAATTATTCAATGTTGTGCACATGAGCCTCCTTGTTGATGTGGAATTAATGTCCTACAGAGCATTATTGGTGTTGTGACTCTCTCCAACCCCACACTGTCTTGGTGGAATTCGGATTCAGACAAAGACCCTAATGTAGTTCTCGTGGTGTCGATAGCCAGCTATTTTCTTTCGGGTGAGGTGGAAGAATTGAGGGAGGAAAACAAGAGCACTTTCAGACTTTGTGTTGTTTTTTTAATCATGACTTTGCTCGACAGGCTGCACATTTAAAAAAAAAAAAAAAAAAAAAAACAGACAGTGCACATGACTTTCTGGTTCATCACAGCCTTATGACCAACAAATAAATGTCTATTGTTTTTACTTCTTACTGGTGGTTGAAGGACCCAGGAACTCGATGGCAGTAATTTGGTGGTTGGTTGGCAGATGGTGATTTGAAATAGTGCACCCACCTTTACCTTGTAAGATTAACAAAAAATGTTTTGATTTGCTGCAGCATTCAAGAGAGTGGCATGTGACGTGAATGTTAAATGTAGTGTCATGTGTGTGTGTGTGTGTGTGAAGCTTTGTGGACAACCACTGTATGACGCAGATGCCCTGATATATAGTGCACTTCATCCATCCATCCATCCATTTTCCGAGCCGCTTCATCCTCACAAGGGTCGCGGGGGGTGCTGGAGCCTATCCCAGCCGTCTTCCGGCAGTACACGGGGGACACCCTGAACCGGTTGCCAGCCAATCGCAGGGCACACAGACACGAACAACCACACGCACACACACTCAACCAAGAGGGACAATTTAGTGTTCAATCAGCCTGCCATGCATGTTTTTGGAATGTGGGAGGAAACCGGAGTACCCGGAGAAAACCCACGCAGGCCCGCGGAGAACATGCAAACTCCACACAGGGGGGCCGGAGCCGGAATCGAACCCACGACCTCTGCACTGTGAGGTCGACGCGCTAACCACTGGAACACCGGGCCGGCCCTCGTGCACTCCATTTACCATTTTAATCACATCAGAGTTTTTTTCTGTTGGACTATGAAGTGTTTTGTTTTGGGGTTTTCTGGGGGCGGGGGCGTATACTGATGGACCACGGAAATTTGCAGAGGACAGAAGCAATGACGAAAGTGCGGTTAAAGTAACTTGATGTACTGACCAGCAGACGTTTACAATTTGGTTCGGCTTGAAAAATGACGGACTGAGGTTGACGGACAGGCGCCCAGGCCCCTGACCAATGACGGACTGACAACATTTTGTAAATTTCCTCCCTTTGGAAATATGTGTTCCAAGATAATAATAATAAACGAGACATTGGTTGTTTAGATATGCATTGAGGAGAATACAGCGATTAATACTCAATTCATTGACCATAAATGACATACCTGGGTGGAAATGCACCATCCCTATATGGCAATCACATTATTGATACAGTATTTTGTCCACCTTCAGGTGGTTATGGTTTATTGATGATCTTATTTAGCTTCATGAAAAGGCCCAAGTATCAGCAGAACATCTCAGTGTGATGCAATGCAAATGTGTACCACTGCAACAACTGCAGTAATACACACAAACACAAATTTGGGCCTTATCTCTCTTGTTAAAAGCAAGATCTTTGAGAGTGTATTGGCGCTCATTTCAAATGTACCAAATGAATGTCCTGTGAGTGTATTCCATGATAACGACACAACACTGTGAATGTATTACATGATAATAACATAACACAACACACTTGGGGAATTTATTGTGAGGCTGCATGTGAAGCACTTTTACAGTTAGAGACTGGAAGTTGTTTTTGTAGACGTATCAAACTGCAATGCAATGACATAGTGAGAGTGCAAAAAAAGGGCAGTCACAAGCGATAGCAGAAGCCACGCATTCAGCTTGAGCTATGATTAGAAGGAGGGAACGAAAGTGACGTGACGTGACAAAGAGGATGAATTAAGAAATACAACACCTGGCAGGGCCTGGGTGATGATGAGATTCTGGTCTCCAGTCCTCCAGCAGGCCTCCAGCAGGCCCACCACACCCCCTACTACTGAGGAACACGAAGAGGGGTTCATCTAAGTCAGCTTTGGTGAAAACAGCAGAAATAACACCCAGTCACTCTGCAAACACTTACTCAGCCCGCAGAGTACTCGCAGCTTTCTTTGCTATGTGTGCGTGTGTGTGTGCGCATGTATGGAAAGAATGCAGAGGAACTTCCTTTGACTGCAGGGTGTGGAGGCTTGTTTGGTTTATATTCAGGCTCCTCCCTTAGGCCTGCTCACCGCCTTACTGCTGTTGTTGCTGCAACCCTGGGTCCTACTGCTCCACCGTCATTTAGATTGTGACATCAGTGAGTGTCCCTTTCTCTTCCTCTCCCTCTCTGACACACACACACACACACACACACACACACACACAGAGTGACTCACAGCTTTCAGAGCACCAATCACCATCGCCAGTTTTCAGCTCCGGTTTGTGAATGGGATTTTGGGCTCAGTTTGAAGAATGTCAATTGGAATCATGATCTTGTAATTCTATGTTGTAGTGTATATGTTTTGCTACGGGCCGTCTATTTGATTTTGGTGTCCTAATTATTTTATGAAGTGACTTGTTGAATTGCTTTTGACTCCCATTAGTGGTGACATACTTTAATTTGGACTTTATGGCGAATTCATCACCTCATCGCCATTCCTATTGTGTACACTGCTCGTCTTTGAAATCTTTTTCAACACTCTTCTCTACTTTGCCAGAGCCACGCCAATCTCATTCACCGTATCTTTCGCCCGTTCCTGGACTTTTTCTTTCTCTCTTTTGTTCAGCCCGCCTGCCCCCAACTGTATAATGGTGCATTGTAGTCACTTTCGTGCACGAAAGTTCGTTCAATCTCAGCTGCTCAACATTTTCAGTTATTTGCTGTTGTATAGCCGATTCTCAAAATGCAAATGACCTGTGGAGTGACAGCTCTAGCAGAGCGAATCCAATCTTT